CTTCCTCCCGCCCCGCTCGTCCAACCCTCCTGTTCTTATTTATTCTTTATCTTTACCGAAGGACGGGGCCAACGGCTCGATAAAAATATTTACATAGAGATTGCACCCCGAAAATGGGGACAACAATTTCGTCGCGTGACACGGTTTCTCTTCCACGTAGAGGAAATTATCGAAAGTGAGCTAAATTCCCGCGGACGAAATGGTACGCGCGCGACAACGACCCAACAAAACTAAACGGGACTCGAATTAAAATTTGTCTTCGACCTGAAGACAGAATTGCAAGGGAATGCCTTTTTGCACGAAACCAACAAAAATCGTGATGGAATGTGATTTCTTAAGAGAGAGAGAGAGAAGCGTGGCAGTTTCAGTAGTTTCCGACGTGGAAAACATCCCCTCGATGAGACGATGCGGTTACCTCGGTTTCCCCCTTCCGCCGCCCCTTTTCGCACCATCCCCTTTCCCGGCACCCCCCGCACACTTCTCTCTCACCCCCCTTTTAACTGTACTTGCGTATCCCCGAACAGGTTACAAACGACGGGCACGGTATTACAAGCCGCAAATTACACCCCTGTCGCCCTCGCTGCCACGTGAATGTGCGAGAACCCAAGACTGTTGGATTACACCCCTGACTGCGAGAACTTCCGTCTGGAATACCACTCGGGCCCTCCGCGGAAACGGAACGATCCGGGTTCCCGTGATAAATTAGGGAGAAGAATATTAACTGTCGTTAGGCAGACAATTATTGGGACACGGTAATGCGCGAAAATGCCCGGGACGTCCGATGCGAAAACGATTACCCCTGCGAGTGCGCGCTCGAAACGGTCTAAAGCACTCTTCTCCCGGTACTTTTTCACACCTGTCCTATGTATATACAACTTCATTGTATCCGCGTTAAAGGAACGATCTAGCGTCAAAATTGCGCGTTCAACGGATACGTCATAAATATTCACGCAAGCGTAATATCGACAATGGTAGAAAAAGCACCGCCGGAGAACTATCGGCGGTCGAAGGGGATATTTCACGAAGATAAACGCACGGGCATAATCCCCCCGTGTAAAGTGATGTTGCGGGCGTGCTTCTTCTGTTCATAAATTACAATATTCCGCGGACCATCCCCTCTTGTTCACCTGATGCGCGCCGCCGTACACGCCCTCCCCTACCCGCCCAGTCGAAAGTTGCTGGAAATTCGCTACAGAATTAACACCATGGATTTCCCAAACGATGAATTACTACACGAGCACCACGTAGCTCGACTTTAATCGCTCGGATAACGACGTTACCCGGTGTCTGGTGTTTCTAAGTTTACGCCGATAACGAGGATAGATCGAGCGGTGATCGATAGGCGTTAAATCGGTTCATCTGAACCACCGTTGCACGTGATTCACGGTGATCTCGGAGCGAGAAGAAGGTTCGCGAAGGATTTCGTTGTTTGTGGAAAGTTTGCTGTTACTATACTTATCACTCCTATATTTACCATTCTATGTGCAAAAATAAATATTAAGACAAAATAACGTTCCTTGGGACGGGACTACGTATCCAATTTGAATCTGTCGTCTGTGTATTAAGACCGAGTTGCCTATGTCCGTACCACTGGAAATATTTTACGTTACATTTCCTATTTTTGGTATTAATTTGTACTGAAGTTATTATTGGGCATTGTATTTTGATATTTAAGGTATATAACTACTAGATGTTTAACCTTTTGTCAAGAACAAGTTTATTTGTTATAAATATTTTTATGAAATAATATAAAAGGTACGATTGAAAAAACCGGTCGCCTAAAATGTACCTCCATTAAAAGCAGTAATTTACGAATAGAAATAATGAATGAAGTATAAGAAAAGTAATCATTTTACTTTTTAAAGAAATATCCAACATATAATAATTAAGAAATAACATACTTATATTAATTCATATCGCATATTAAATTATATATGTTTTATATGTTATATATACGTGTAAATACATATATTACGTATGTTATAAAATGTTTTTTCACCATATTGTTAAAAAGATTTTTTAAATGTTTGTATCACACACAAAATAGGATGTAATTTTCAAACTTTTTCTTCATATTTGTCATTGATCGTTTATTTCATATTTTTACCATTAGATGTCGCTTATATCCATGAAGTATAAAGACATTGATTAGATACGATTTAGGAAACCGTAGTGACAAATATGCTATAGGCAACTCTCCTCTATTAGTTATTTTTACATACAAGAATGACTGTAAAAGTACTATGTAATACGCTACCTTCATTTTTCACAAATAATCCGACATAAACCGATAATACATAATGTCCATGGAATACAGATAAAACGGTAATCATGATCGATGTATCTGAGAAGTGGTAATAACGAATAATGACCAGACATAGTACCGTTCGTATAGGAGAATAAAAAATGATGTTCCATGTGTTCGATTTATTTTTTCACGTAGAGCCATCCTTGTTCGAGTTGTAATATCACCTGATACAGGGCACCCTGTATATGTATATGTATAAGAGGGTAAAGTAAAGAAGGGTAAGAAACCCGGAAACAGACGGCTAAAAATTACATTGTGAAGGGGATGAAATGTTTTCGCTCTAATCTTGCGCTGCGGCTTAATTTTCCGGAATTATGCATCCCCTGGAAAACGTGCGCGTATCCAAGGTCCTCATTTCACCCACGGCGATCCTTTTCTCCTTTTCGACCGTAGTAACGCGGCACAAAGGGGCTCGCAATAGAATGTCGTTTCGTTAATTAATTTACACCGCGACATCACTGGATTACGAAGCCCGCGAACGATTCCATTCTTCTCGGGCGAGGCGTCTTGAAAGGCTGTAAAAAGGGAAACTGATGGAAGCTTTTCTGTGCTTTGACTTACTGGCGTGAAAGGTTCTACAGAACGACCAAGAAATATCCTTGGATAAATTAGTTGGCGACAGATAGTGTTCTAATAATTCAAAGAAAAAATTGGTGGACATATATAGATAGTATCGGAATGATAGTTAATTATTGATAAACGCTGATTATATCTAAATGGTAGTTAAAGGTCAATTCGTGTTTTAAGGATACTAGAGCAAGGAGTGAAAATATGAAAAATAGAGTAGGGCAGTCAGACAACATAATGGGAGGCTTCTATCAGTAACATCACAGGCTAGCTGATTTTTATCAAACATAGTCATACGAAACTTTTAGTACCTTTTTTATATTTATTTTTGCTACTGCTAATGTTTTCAAAAAGCTGACAGCGATTTCGAAGTTAGATTTATAATCTGTTCTTAGTATGTAATTTGCATTTCGTTTTTATTTTTCGCCTGTTTCTACAACTGCCTCCGACTTTTCAGATAATTTCATTGTACATATAAATTACATAAAATTACTATCGTCTTAGCGAAAAATTTTTTAACATACTATTGGATAACTTTCCTTTATTCAAAGTTTTATCCTACTACAGAATATTTTAACAAACTAAATGTCCAATAACGTTTCACTTCTTTAACGCTGTTAACGACGTATACACTTTTTCAGAAATATTTTTATATGTGAGAAATATCTAAAGCCAAGCGTTACTGTTCTGCATGTTTCTCCTTTTTCATCATTTCGAATGTACAGTTGCACTGAGAATCCGTCACAGGATTAACATAGCATGATGGAAATGTATATTGTACTTACACAAAGGATACATTCAACATCCTCGAAGACAGTGCACGTACACCCAGCCAAGGAATTTCTTATTTTTGCAATAAAGACAAAATAAAGAAGAAGTGCCTCGAACGCTCACTATCGAAACACCTAAACATCATCGTATTAAAATCTTACTACGACGCGACAGCATTACGACCGTGCCGGTAACCAATAATTTCGAAAATATTTCACCGTTTTCCGACAGCTTCTCAGCTCCCCTTTTATACAGGGCGGGTTCATACTCTCCTAAAAACTCGCCCTCGCGACGGTGAAATATTTTTAATTGGAACATAAATTCTCCCAATTCGACGTCGAAACTTTTCACCTCCCTCGCCGCGAAGCAAAACCGAAGTGGGTCTTCGAAACTGGAACGAAACGGGGGAAGTGGAAAAACGTTCGCCTCACCTCGGTTTTTCCGCGTATCCGAGAGTAAGCGGAGAATAAGAGGGAAACAGCGGAGCTGGCGGAAAACCTGTTCGGAGGTGCTAGCTCACACGGTGTTCCGAAAACGGACGTGAATAATAGAGGGTGGGAGGGGTGGGGGAAAGGCGCGTTAGCTTCGAAGGAAGACGAAAAGCGTTTTCCTATAGATGGGATTCTCTGCGTACGAAGGCGTTTCGCGAACGTCTGGGTCCACCGGAAAATTTTCGCAGACGATGGCATTACTTTTTTACGAGTGTGGCACCCAAGAGACGGACCGTATCCACAGGCCGACGCTCCTGAGGTGCTCCATATTTCATACCCTGTTGCTTTCTCGGCGCGCGTTACGCCCTGTAACTGGCAGTTCTTGGACTTTCAAATGAAAACAGATGTTATACGTGTTTCGAGGGCAATGAATACAGGAACGCGTATGATATTCGTGCAAGTATAATACTATACGGCCCTGGAACTTGAACGTATGGAAATGTTCTGGGAATGGAGAAATGAATCGGGGACAAGGCGACATTGCCACATGTTTTATTTTTGGAACCTTTTTACCTTGTATTAACAAACCTTTGTTACAAACAAACATTCATTATTCCTCTACTAGTAATTATATCCATACAATATTATATGTTCCTGTTTAGAAATTCAATGTTTCTTCGTGTAATTTAATGGTTCCGCCAATCAGTGACCACCATAGGAGTTAACGTGAATGAGTGGGGATGTGGATATGGTATTCCCGTAAATGACACGGCAAAAGTACAAAACATCGCATGGGAGGTTTATTAAATAGTATCTCTTTTATTTTTAATATTAAGTATTTATTACATACAAGCATTTATACAATACGAAGTATTCTTTATTTTTTTTTGTTTTTAGACATGACTGATGATATTTAGCGTTCTCAGTATTTGTATGTTTAGAAACATTCTTTCGCATGTATTGAGATTATTATTATTGTTATTATTACTATAGTTATTATTAATTACGTGTCCTTATAGAATACGTTTTAGTTAGACCGAATAGAGTAGTTCGAATAAATAAACTCCGTACATAATAGTCATTGCATCGCGCTTCTGTTCCTCGAGAATGCAACAGCCCCGTACGTTTCCCTTTCGGATAGTGAAAAATAACGGAGTATGCCCTCGTGATTGCGTCGGAACTGATTCGAATTGCTTGTTCTCGGTATCGTAAACTACGCGTTGAAGAAGCTTTAGGCGATTAAAGTCTGTATGTATTTCTCTGTGTGTACGTGTATCTGCGTGGTTTTCTTAGGATTATATATATGCGTCTGTACAGAGCAGTGTGCTACAGTTTTTCGATAAAAATACACGTTTATTCTTGTTAAAATGTTAGTTCTTAGGTATCGCGCGATAGAAAGCATTTCGCTACATGAAACACTGCGTTATTACATACACGTACGTTCGAAGACCTTAAATTAATCAATTTCGAGGGGAACGAACTTACATGATAAGCATGCAGCGTTCGAAAGTCAGGGTGGATGGTAATAATATCTCGTGTGCGTGCGTGTGTGTGTGTGTGTGTTTGTGTGTGTGTGTAGCACAAAAACGCAAGAAAAGGATTTCGAAAAAAAAAAAACAAATCGGAAAACCGTGTATACACTTAGCAAAATTAGCGGATATTTTTATCTCAGATGCATCGACGATTCATCTTTCTTTCTGTTTTTTTGCTTACTCGAAAAAATTCGGATGATCGTATTATACTTGTTCACCCTCGATATGAAGAATCTCGTTGGTCGACCGGTATTTATGTAACCGCGATCAAATGAGGTGTGAACACACAAAGCGTGCTAAAGATATCCATTTTTTTTGTTTACAACAGTATGCCACAATAGTAAGAAACAACTCATGTCTTAGACACCAATTACAATCGTTTGCTGAATAACATCAGGCGTTTAAAATTATCGTTCTCTATCTGTATACTAGTATGATACCGCTTATTTAATGAATAGCCACCGCTGGTAGTAACGCAACGTGACCTTGTAATTATCGGCAACACGATGTCCATGGGATAGATGCCGGTGTGGGCCTACCTTTGCGCCTAGAATTTGCATGATCACACGAACCGGTGATTAACCGTGATCGAACAACGTAATCGGGACCCCCGGTGATCGCGTAACATCGACTAACCGTGTGACCGGCGAGAAGAAGGGGGAGCTCATGTACAAACAAAAAGTAACCAAGTAGCTATATCGTGCCCCGTTTATTCCGCGAACGTAATGCAGTGGCTATTTCACAAAGCAATAATCGCCATCCTCGTCATCATCACAGCTAGAAAATTTATATTAGATCCGCGAGAAACGTAACAGTAAAATGAAAATCTAGTTGGATACCTAGAGTACCAATATTAAGATGAGTTTTCTATTAAAAAAAAAAAAAAATAATAAACACAGAGACAGAAAAAAATATACGATAAAAACAGTAAAATTGCTTGACTAGTGAGCGCACGCCCCAAAAATGTAGTATGGAAGAAATGTTTTTTTTTCCCGTTTTTTTTTCATCATATCTGCAGAGGATCTTAACTAGATATGATTATACATAGATTTCCTTTCTCTATTCAAATTCTATAAGGTAATATTATTACTATCTCTTATGTAAGGACAATCATTGGAGCTTACCTCCTACGTCATTTTGGCAGATACAGTTTCGCAAGTTATCCGTTTCTTTTTATATAATATGTATATATCATTTAAAACCAATTCACAATCTTGTGCTATGTTTGTCAAGCCGCTTTACACATTCGTCCACGTATACAAATCGCGAATCCATCGATTCGCTTGATCGGTTTCGTAAAATCTTGATTTCGTCACAATTTTCCACCCACGTTTAGAAAAAGAAAAAACATAAAAGACATTCGCAAAACGAGAAAAAGAAATCGCAAAACGTCGTTACAGAGTACCGCGCGACGGAAAACGTGTATGTATATAATTGAAACAATGATATTCTGATACAACAGAAACCTCTACGAGTGGTTCGTCAAATCATAATTCACGTTTTATATAAACAGGCCTTTATCACCCATGAAAGGTCCTCCGAAACATTCGATTTATATCCTAACAGCATACTATAACGGACTGAGAGCCTATTTGCTGATTGCGTAATATTATTAATTAACATTATATATTATTTTACAATTTCTCGTGACAACGTTTAAAGGACATCGGTAGTCTTTCTCGTTCATTTGACGTAGTGCCCCCGATTTCTCTACTTAGATCTCCGTTTCTACACATTGATAGCGCTTATTTACATTATTCTCATAAACGGACGTCGTTTCGAACGTTATTATTATTAATCGTGTGTACCTGTATCGCTTGCTGGAAGCAACAACACGGTATTCTTTTTTTTCGAATCCAAACTCTGTCTGTCTCTTCCTCCGTTTCACCAGAATGTTTAATACGCGCATTATGATAAAAGATCTGCAGACCAAGAATATCGTGTTACATTGACACATACAACATAGATTATAAGGTTATATTACAGAGAATTCAAACGCCAGTATCGCGATAGTAACGCGTAAACGTACCTGGTAGTTGACTATTATCTTGCGGTTTGTTGTTTATAAAAGAATCCTGGAACGGATTTACATTGGCGTTAGCAGCGGTTGGCATGTACGCGTTGGCCATTGGAGTGAAGGGTATAGCTGTTGGATTTAGGTTTGAGTTGAGGTTGTCCTCGTTGGCCAGATTGCTGGTCAGTTGAAGTATTGGGCCACTACTGCTATTACTGAGAGAGTCGAATTCCGTTAGGTCTAACAGGTTGTTGGTCACGTTGTTTTGTTTGCTATAAAATCAGCCAAAAAGGAAACATACAAATACTAAATAATAGGCGAGTAACAAACTAGAGACTACATTGCCGTGAGCACATTGTAATTTCCTAAGGAAGAAAATTACAATCACTAAAACAACAATTGGCTAGGCCAATCATGGACCATTCATACCCCCGAACACTATCTTACTAAAGTTAATATAGTATATACATATAATAATACAATCGCTCGATAATAGAAGCGAACTTTAGAGTATACTAGAAGTAATCTAAGACGTTTCCACAAAAGACGAATGAAACAAATAGATTAACAACTAATGTACACTGTATACTCGATGCCAATTATCTTGCATAAAATTGTATTCGTAAAATTTGTTCGACAGTCGATGCTTGCCGTGAAAATTTATCTGCGAATAAATTTTCTTCGTGGTAAACTGGTCTTGCATCAGCACTAGATCGCTGACTAATAGTCTCGTAAAGGCAAGCTACTTTGATGCTGTAAAGCAGCTACAAAAAGCGTTTTTACGTGTGCTTCGGAACTGATGCGGAATTCTATTGCGTAAAGGAAACCGTATGTGGAACACAATTCACACATACACACAAAAGAATCTTCTTTCCTCGAGAAAAATCAGAAATACATAGGCAACGTATATACAATATACTACCATACAGCAGGTTCGCAAGATCTGGTCACAGCAATTTATATCTATACGCTTAACTCTCGTATACCGAAGTTCTCTTATTCGTAATATAAAATACGTTGTAAAATATATTCATGCCCAGTGTCGACACGGACTCCAATGGGATTAGTGGAATGGACTGTGTGAAAACACATGTTCGTACAACGAAAGAGAGTACTGTCAAAGTGTGTGAAGGTACAAATAGTACATAGCAAAAGTAGACAGTAAGTTGACACGTACTGCTGGATGATGTACAACACAAACATAAAGAACATGTATAAATTATAGCAAAGAAAAGTACAAGCCACATCATATCGATACGATTAATTGACAACATGCATTTGGTGGTAATAAAAATCGGCAGTAAGAAACGGTTAGTATGAACACTGTACTTAACGAATGCATACATGACGAGCTTGAATAAGAACTAATTGGAGGAAAGATAAAGTAATAGCTCACCAAAGACGTCTTCGAACCTTCCGAATGACATTTATGTACAACGGCGAAGAACGTTCAAGGTAAAGGAATCGATCTTTGATGAGCTCGTATGATAAAATTACAAAACAAAACTTTTTTAGATGAGTCATTAAATTTATGCTATTTATCTTTCTTTACATTATGTACACTGAATTTATTATTGATTAGTTGGTATTTAACGCTCTAACTCTGTTAGTCGTTTAACATTTCCATGCTTCGTATAACATTACATGTTTTTATGCCATTAACATATCGCTAAAAAGAGTCGACGTACATATCGGTTTTTTTTTGTTTAATCATTTAATAATCCTTCAGACGTCTACCTAAAAATAGTATACTTTTAACTAATACATGATTAAATATAAATTATAAAATATATGTAAGTATAATAGACGATATAATATACATTTTTTCTTCATACCTCTCTTGTTACCGTCGATATCATCGTTTTTTTTTCGTATAATTTATATGTTAGTTATTGGAGAATAGCCGTGCGATTACGTAAATCGTTTCGTTTAATAGTGATAACACAATATGCCAGTTATATTTGTCTCGTGTTTGTCAACCATTGCTCTGACTACTTTTGCAATGTACAATATACGTAAAATCGTCTTGCGTTATAATGATATTTTGTATAAAGCGATCTTTATTTCTCTCTCTACCGAGCTAAATCAAGATTTCATAGGCAGTTCCTTCCAATTCATGGGAAAGCGCAATAGACTTTGTTATTTAATTAACTATGTATAGTACATATATATTTTTTCTCAAACTTAATTTCCTTGCTGCTCTTTGCGAATACTACAAAAAACATCTCAAACAACAGAATTCATTATATACACATCAACGATAAAGTATGAGCATACCGCGTGCTTTAATAATTTAGTATTAAAAAAAGAGGTACAGGATCATTATTCATCTTTCGCATATCATGATAGTTCGTTTTAAAAATGAAAGAATATTTTCGATTGTTCTCCGTTCTTTCTTTCTTTTCTTCGATTCTGACCATAAAATCATACATTACAATTAATACACGTATATAATTAATGTGGCACATGTTCCAATACCACTTCCGTATTCCTCCGGAAAACAATGCTCATATCTCCTAGCCATTTTTTTATTCGCGATTTCGTTTCCACTTGAACAAGTGAAAATTATGGTATAAAATAATTGTACTAAAAACTGCATCGAAACTGTAGAACATATGCAGACGAAGAAGCGACATCATGGATAATGAATGGAAAATAGACTAGTGTAACTGCTACAAACTTCACGATCGGTTATTTATAGTTCACGCTCTGTGTGCGTGTGGATCAATTAATCGTGAATCCATAAATAACTTTCATTAGATAAATGACTAGAGTAATACCCTGAATCATTCGAAATACAGAGTGTTTTCTTTTGTATGTAATATAAACTGTTTGCTGATGAATACGTCCGTTTTGAATCATCAAGGATCAACACTGCATCTTCCGCATGTTTAATATTAGTATATATTTGTATATAGATTTCGACACTATATTTTTCTCGTGTAACGCGTCGGGATTCAAACTGATTTTTTTAATACTTTTTTTGTTCTGCATATTCTTGAAACATACGTTTTATCATTTTTTTGTTTTTGTCAGCGCGAGTATTATATTTTACCTTTATTCAAACGGCACTAGAGATCAGTCAACATTTTTTACGTACATAATGGCTAGTATTGTGCAAATATTTATATTACGTTAGTTACACCGTTAGCCATAATTATTCCTCGAGAACAAAAAAGAAAAAAACCTGCGACAACACCCGTCAGATACAAGACACAGCGCGTGATACGTTTATGCGCCGTGTCCACGCAAGTTCTAGATAAAATATACACTTGGTAGAAACAGCGTCCCGAAATATTTACCGCTAGGAATTCGACCATCGAATCGTATATAGAGACGGTTTCGTCCGTGGAAAAATACCTTTCACGCTTTATAGCGCCTCGAGAAATCAAAACGAATATGTTCAAAGGTTTTCGTGAAAATTCCTACGTTGCGGAGACTGTGGTGTACGCATGTGTGTGTGTGTGTGTGTGTATAGGAATCAACGGTGGTTTTTTAAGTATCGTTAGTCTGATATCTAAGCCTTGCACGGGCATTCAATATAAGTATTATTGTCGAACGATCTAAAAAAAAAACAAATGAACTTACAATTCTTTGAGATGCTCTTCGATTTTTTTTTTTGTTTTTTTTTTTTTTTTTTTTTTTTTTTCTAAATCGATGAGAAATCCAGTTATATCGTGGATTTGTATAATCTCTCTTTTGTTTGTTTCTTTGTTTGTATGGCGATCGGTAGATATTCGGTGTGTAACTCATACGTTAATGGTAAACGTTCTCACAAATCTGTAACTGTTTAATTTAATATACTTACACGGTGGCATTATCCAGTGTAATTGATTGACTGTTGATACCGTTTCCGTGATTCGTATGATGACCGTTCAGTTCTCCCTCCACGTTACCCTGATTATTATCCAATACAATTTTACTTTCATTAATGCCATTACTATGCGTGCCGTTATGCACAATGTCCGTTTTCGTGTTGTTCTCCGTGTGATGAGCCCGTTGCTCCCCGCTAATGAACTGCTGGGTCGCCTCGGATATCAGACTGGCCGTCATTACGTCCTCACCTTTGTTACCCGGTATTGGTTTGTTCTCATCGTTTGGACTGTCTTCTTTCAACTTATCCCCGTCACCACCTTCACCCTGTGTATACAACACACACGAAACCAGAAACACATTAGCAAACAGAAGGCAGAATCAATAGAAGAACATTTCGAAAAACTAGAATCAACAAATCCTAATACCTTTGTAGGCGTGTTGCTCTGATTTTTCCCCCGAGTTCTAAGCATAATCGCCTCGACGCGTTTACGTCTGGCAAGTCTCTCTTCTTCCTCTTTTTTGAGACGTTCGACCATTTCGATCCGTTGTCTGTAACACAATTACATCGCGTATGCCAAGAGGTCCTAAACAGAGTTCATTAAACTGATACCGAAGAAGTGACCAGACCTTTCAGACTCTTCCCTCGCCTTCCGTTCAGCCTCTTCCTTCTCTTGTTTCTGACGAGCCTCTTCTTCTCTTTTTCTCCTGTCCTCTTCCTCGCGACGTTTCGCCTCCTCGATCGCCAATCTCAGTCTCTGTTCCTCGGCCTCTCGGGCCTCGTTGGCCAAACGAAGCGACTCCTCCTCCAAACGTCGTTGTTCCTCTTCCTCGGCGCGCAGCCTTTCAGCCTCCAACCGTGCTTCTTCCTCCTATCGACAGAAAATTCGCATCAAACCTTCATATGTACTCTAATAATAGACGATTCTATAGAAAATCTTCTCGAAGACCCACCTGCCGTTGACGTTCCAGTTCAGCTTCCCGTTCCGCCTGTTCTCTGGCTAATCTCCTGCGTTCCGCAATGGCTGCCTTGGCCTCCTCCTCCGTGGTAATCCTAATCTTCGCTATCATCGAGGCTGAAAAAAGGCGACGATTATATAGGCGATCGTCAATCTCCAATCTTATTTCCAATATCTATCGAATTATGTACCCGACATGTCGATTTGTTCCTCGACATTGTTCTCCGATTTAGCTTCAATCTCCGCCAACTTCTTCTCCTGTTTGTCTTTGTCTTCCTTTTTCTTGGGCGTGTCTGGAGGCGGCGGTGCAGCGGTCTGGTTCTCCTGATTCAAATTGCTCTCGTCCTTCGCCTGCTTGGACACCGGTACGGGATCGGAGTGTTCGATGATGACCAGTTTCTTCACTTCTTCGTTACCCTGTTCGGCGGCGCTTATTTCTTGCTGCAACGAAATGAGAACAAAATGGATGCAATCGACCATCGTGTCATCCCAAAAACGTCTCATGTGTATTTCATTCATTCATGAAGACGGTAATCAATAGTCTACGGATGTTTATGCATTTATAACCCTTAACCTTATTTACCCTTAACTTGGAAAATGCACTAAAATAAAGTCTAATAAAGTTTAACACTATTTATGTGCTATGACTAACACAGTAAATCTGGTACAGAACTTAAAATTCTGCTACATTCTAATTTATATTTATGAACTTGTGAATTTGCATAAACCTCCACAGTCTAGTAATCAATTTACTTGTGTCTTTTCCGTGCCCTGGTCTTTCTTCTCCTCGTGTTTCTCCTCCGCCTTCATCTCCTCCTTCACCTCGTTCTTTATTATCTCACCGGTGCCCTCGCGTATGAACGGCTCATTCTCGACACCTGGACTCTGCAACGGTGTCGCTTTGGGAGTTATCCGGGGTGACGCTTTCGCGTTCTTTATTAACTTTTCGGTCGGTTTCTTGATCTCGCTGGTCTTCGGAGTGGAAGATTTCTTTGGAGTGCTGTGGACCTTTGGCAGTGGCGGCTTCGAATCCTTTGTCAGTCTCGCGTCACCGGACAGATCTGTTACAAGTGAGAATTCGTGATTCGCCAAGCGCACCTGTACGATGGTCCCGTTTACAAACATACACAGTATTTAAATGTGCAATCTCGAAATAACCAAAAAAAAAAAATTGATAAAAAAAGGTATGCAACCAATTCGAACTAAAATAAGATCGATTGAAATGAATCTCGTGGGGACAAAACGATTCAACTGAAATCGAAACAAAAGACGCGTGTTCGCGTCCTCCAAAAAAAAAGAAAAAAAAAAAAAACAGAAAAGATTCTTCTCGTGTAGTCTCTGTATGCGATCAATGCAAACGATAGATCGGGCCATGATCCATCGTGTACACGATTAGAGTATAAGAGAATTGACAAAAAAATTGCATGCTCACTGTGTCGTTCTGTGACCGAAACACCGGTACCGGCAATAGAAGCAGGTCGCGGCCGACGCGGGGTAGTCGTACGGGGACGCAGATTGACGTTACTGCTGCCCACACTGCTGGCGCTTTGCTGGCTCATGGAGCTGTGCGGTCGTGATGGGCTGTTCGGTGTCACCTCCCCGCTGCGGATCCCTACGCGTACCCACCCAAGGTGAACATCTCTCGTCATATTTACGGTGGTGGTGTGTTTAATGTGCTCACGTGTTCGCCGCGCGTTATTGTGCATAGCAAGAGACACACACAGCAGACTTTTGCCGGTGAAAACCGCGGCGAACGCGGTGCACCTTAGCGCACGTTCCCGCGACGACACCTTCGCGGTGACGATCCGCGGTTAATTAGCTGTCAGAGGCTCGTGTCGCCGCTAGACCGTGTCCTTTTGGGCTAACGATCGCTGTCGTTCCCGTTGGCATTGCAAGGCTAACTTCGATCGAGGACTGTTCAATGTCTCGGATGTTTTTTACAATGGAGCTCCAGGTATAGCTGTGTGATTAAGTTACTCGATGTGGCTCGAGTTTTCTGATTGATTCGTGATATTTGGGTTTAGCTTTGTGGTGATGTTCGAGTGGTTGGTTTGAATTGTAAGTCGATAGGAGAGATACTTGTTGGCCAAGGATCGCTTGTTTTCAGTTTAGTGTTTTGTTATTGTTTGCGTTTCTTGATTTTACGGTGGATCTCTAGTGTTTGAGGAGCCATGAATAGATTTTTGGGGAGGCTATTTAAGACGATGACGAAATGGGAGAAGGAACCCTCGGCGATCAATATTTCCTATCACGAGTATGTCAATCTGTCTTGGAATATCAACGAAGTTATTTCCAATGCCAGGGAAATCACTTTTTAAAAGGACACGGCAGTTGCGTCCGTAAGCCTCTCACAAACTTGATCGCGAGACATCGCGATGCCTGTGTGACACGAGGCTTCTTGTTTCATTATGTCAGACCGTTGGTGCACATTGCCCAAGATGTCTCGATAAATTAGTCTCTTTTTCTTCTTTCTCTCTTCCTTTCTTTTGGTCTGATTTGACATTAAGAATACAAAACGAACGAACAGCGAAATCAAAGAAAGAACAAGCACCGCCACCAAAATTAATCATTGTTTGTGCTGTTTTGTGTATGTACATCGAGATTAAATTAAGATACAAGAAAAAAAAACAGGCTGAAATGAATATACAGGGAATCGAAAATCATCGTGACAGAGCGAAAGAAAAAGAAGCTTAAACGTTTAAAACAAAGAACAGAGCGAATAAAATGTATTGCACACTAAATACGATTATGGTTCATCGTCTGTACAGTTTTCAAACGTTGTGACATGGAATACGTACGTGTATAGGTGGGTAAGATATGGAGAAAAATAATCGTGTAGCTTACCAAATAAACGTTAGACCTTCACCTCTGTGGTACCCGAAAAGCCGGGGGAGCGAGAACTTGTCGTTTCTTAGGCAGGAGCGTTTTGTTAATCAATCCATACACGTTAATGCGACAAACTGGCACGACATGAGGTGAACTTCATGCAGTTCGCGCGTATGTACATATATATCGTTGTTAAATATCGATTGTTAAAGAAAGACAACGCGTAGAACGCTTTGAAAGGTCGGTTGTTAGTCTCTGTTGAATACACAAGCGTGTAGTATCCGTACGCGTTGCGGTATTGTACAGAAGATATCCGAAACGATCGTGAGACGATTTTCTGGCTTATTGATTCACAATGGCTCCTCTCTGCGTCTGTGCATGCATATGTGCACCCAACTCAAGTTAGAACGAGTACAATATAAACCAGTGCTGTCCAACGCTGGTTCCGTGGCTTCGAGACCTTCCACCACTCTGAATCGACCGACGTGTCGTTATAAACCGTGTTAGACATGGAGCAATAACTTTGAAAAGATTTTAATTCTAACATTTACTATTTCTCAAACTGATCCAAAAGAGCTAAACTTTATTAGAACACTTCTGAAATGCAAACTAAGTTGTAGAAATCAATATAAAATTATGAGGGGTATTAAAATCATATTGTTAACCGAATATTAAAGCTCCATATGTAACAGTTGCATTAATATAAAATAACGAACGTGATGCAAAATTCGTTTCACTGTCACATTTTTCGTAGACAGACTTGGTGTTCCCAATGCTGTGCACGAGGGTGTAGAGAGTATGTATTTCTTTCCTATAGTAATGTCACGTGAGGACTGGTGACACAGTTATAGGGTACAGTGCGCGGCTTGGTTTTCTTCCCACCCTTTAGTAATCGACAAGAGTGACGTAAGACTCGCCTACTATTGGCTAGACCAAAATACAATAACAACAGTAACACAATTATAAAAACATCGTGACGATGCCATTACAAAAAATGAATTCTATATTTTGCACGAATTAGTAATTTACCATTTCGAACAAAATTTATATTTAAAATAACGTTTTCAAATTTAAAGTTTTATGGAACGTCTATCTCTGACAACACCTAGATCATCCCCTCAAGAACTCTTCCAAACATGTCGAACAGTAAAGTGGGCAAAGTCGCGAGACAACAGAAACCACGGGACAGCACTGTCAAGGAACCTTCTTCCGCGTCGCCTGTCAGACCCACATCGGAACCAGAAACTTCCACATACCATCGTCTGAGTTACCACAAAATTAGTATGAAGCAGATTCCGCGAGTACATCATCGTTCAAGCAACGATAGAACGATCAATCCATCGACGGGACGAATATGATAGAATATACAGGCTGATAGAAAAAAGAGGGTCTAAGAATTTTGGGACTTATAGTACTTACCGAATAAAGTAAAAAATGTCTAATCAACATTGGTCCTAAAATCAATCCTTTCAAAGAGAAATACAAAATTTGTTTTCACATTTATTACAGATGTTTCATATGTCTTCTTTCCATTTCAATACAAACAGAGATTGACGTACATTTTCAGATATTCCGTTCCATATCTCATTATTATCTCTTGTCGTACAATCTCGAATTAATGTACTTCTAAACCAAGTGTTCTGTTTACATTCCATATGTCTGAAAAATGAACGCTCATAAACATAAAAGTTAATTCTACATCTAAAGGATTGCTTTTAGAACCTACGTTGATAAGACATATCTCATTCCTCTCGGTGAGTACCAGAGATGGACAAATTCATCATCTAGATAAAGAGTTTCAAAGAACGAATAAAAGATAAAAGAAAGTACTTCGCCAGTTTTACTAGATTAAATGTGGAAATCCCAATGTCTATAATAAAATAATACTTGTTCTTGAATGACTAGATATTTGGCAAACAATTATTTAATGTCATTAACTAACATATTGGCTGCCAGATATTCACTTTTCTTTCCCCATCTGCCAACATATCAAACCACAACATGGTAACAAAAGTTCAGCTTCATGACTGCATTCTTCAATCAAATTAAAAGAAACCCCAAAATCATCTGACATTAGTGAAAAACAAATATTTCTGATGTGCCACGTAACCGTAAAAACAATTTATTGTACATTGTAATTTTATACAATATAACAAGTTATGACGCAAATTAAATTTATATCAATTTTTATTCAACACAATACTGTAATATTCTTTAAATTAACAATAGGAACTTTTGTACCCCTTCTTATGAACTTTGAGGATTGGTTCCACCCCCTAAATATGAAAACCAACCAAAATAAAAAACCACAAATACGTTATTTTTCGGTCCTTTAAAACATATCACAAAACCAAAGGAATTGGAGCCAGACACCTGAAAGCCCTTCTTGTGCGTGTGAGCAGCCAGCAGCAAGTGACATAGCAGCCAATGTGTTAATGATCAAGATAACACTCTTAGATACTGCTGCTTTTCACAATATATCATTCGAATCAAATTCTGCGCAACTCTAACAAGTGCTAGAAGCCCCTAATAGTCTTAGACCCTTCTTTTAATCACCCTCTGTATCGGCTATAGAGCATACATATTTACACGTGGAGGCCGTTGCGACAAATAGCGAATGGAGAGCAAATAGATCACTGGAGTTGAGTGCACAGGAACGATCTTACCTTGCTGCTGTTGGCTCTGATGCTCGCGTGCCTTGCGACGGAGTCTCTCGGCTCTGGTCGGTCTCGGCACCGGTACCGCGCCCGGCAGGGTGCCCATGCTACGCGAGTTATCTGAGCGTTTTAGGCTCTTGCCGCCGGACGCAGCTAAGTGCGACATGCTGCGACTCATGCTAGAAGCGCTCAGAGGCTGGCTTTGCTGTTCCGTCAGCGTGCTAAGTTCGGTCGGCGGACGTTTCCTAGGCTGCGCGAGCTGGTCCAGCCTGGACATCGAGTAAGTCCTACCTGGCGAGCGTGTGAAGGCTTTAGCGCTGGAACTTCGCCCGGAGGACGGCGGCCCGTCACGTGGCGACGGTATCGTCGGCATCAGATCGGTGCGTCTTCTGTTCACGCGCAGATAAACCGAGCTAGGTGTTCCTGGCGTTCCGTCGGTTTCTTCACCTGCAAATAGTCCCCGGAATGGTTTCGTGATGCCGGAAGCGTGTAGGTCGTCCACTCGCGCGCCGCGTATCGCGGACAGGACAAGGAAAGAACAACTTGTGTGTGTACGTGTATACAAGGCGCGCAACGTAGATCGGTAGTGGTTCGACAACGGGACACAAAACTTCTTTGTGTTCAGTTCTGTGTGTGTGTGTGTGTGTGTGTGCTAGTTTATGTGTGTATGTTTGTCGAAGCGGTAAAATTATGCGTGCGATTGGACGTCGTACAGACGACCAGAAGCAGGATTGATCGAGGGTGTCGTCGAGACTCATGCCGAGGGATAGTAGGGAACAATACGGGTCGAAGAAGGGTGTTACGAAAGCATGGCGAATGAAACGATATGTGCAAACCGGTTCAGGTGAAAATCCCGTGCACGGCAGCGAGTCGTTGTGTCGGCATTCAAATTAATCACATCGATTCGCTACGAAAAGTAAACGTTGTAAAATACTCAACAAACTCGAATCGGTGAACGTTGTCGAACTATGTTTATGAACGCTTCTATACGACGCTTTCGAATATTTGCAAACTATTATGTAATTAAACACGGAATGTAAAATAAAGTAGCAGTGTGAAAGAGTATATGAATGACTATGGGTGTATGCTTGTGCTTCACGATAGTAATGCTAATGACGCGAAAACATACATATATAGAATCGAAAGTTATCCTATGATGTATAAATCGACTGAATATCGAGGCACCTCAGCTTCTCGACGTCTATCTCCTCTAAACAAAACTATTCTTAGGATAGAACACGTTCTAAGGACAACAACACTACCATAAAGAGGAATAACGGTATGTTAACCGAGTTTCTAGTGGAACAACACTTATCTAATATGGTTAGTAAGTAGGCCCGTTACAGTGTACGTAAGAGTGTTAGTATTGTTAGTGTAAAATTTTGAGTAGCATTGGATGCATATGGTTAACTAATGATATCTCAGCTGTGCGACATAGATCTTCGTTTGCAAATTTATAGAAAAAGAAAAAAGAAAAATCATCGGTTCAATGTGTTTTACGTGTCGATTAATCTACGAGAGCTCGTCGACGTCGCACAGCCTACTGTAACGCTCGACGAACGCATTCGAAAAATTGTGCATCGTGTTCGTCGTAGCGTTTCTCATGATCGTGACATGCTTTGCAATAGAGTAATAATCCCACGTGTGCTAACGAACGAGAAAGACAAGGATATGTCGACAGCTCATTCTGGGACAAACAGAACAAATCTTCCCCGTTGCAGACGTTTCGTTTTTTTCTTTCGAGAATCAGGACTCACCACTGGCAGCCCGCTGAATCATCGGACGCCTAGTGTCGTTATCAGACTTATCATCGATGGCAAAGATGTCAGTTGTAGGAGGCAGAGAGAGGCTGGCTCTCTTATGTTTGGCGGGGGTTAAGGGAGGATCGGGGCTAGAATTCCAATTGAACACCTCGTACATGGACGAGGACATTCTCATATCTGCAAACAAACCAGTGAACGCTGCAACATTAGGTAATTTATCTTTTTCCTCGATTTCTTTTTGCTTATTTTTTTAGGGGGAGGGGGGTGGTGTTCGGGGCGTTGTTCGACAGAAAATAAAGGGGCTAAAAGGGGGGTAGGTGGGGCGGAATATTAGCATGAGTTAGATGTAGTGCGATTTACAGATAATTTAAAAATACAATTCGCCTGACAGAGCCACCACCAGTAAGTTACGGATTACAGCGGATGCAAAAGGATCTTAATCACCGAAGGGAATCTATCTCCGACCAGGGGGGAGGGGGCGTGTAATATTCTCTAGTTTATTACGTTTACTCAGGCACATTTCTCGCTACGAGTTCTCTATGTACTCTCACGCTCGGAGTTCGTATAGCGTGTTCGGATTACCGAGAAGTCAGAGAGCGAAGATGAGGTGCTTCCCGTGTGTACATGAGGGTGGACTATGCTAGCAAAATGAATTTGAACGCGGTAAAGGAATATAATTTTCATTGGAATTTTGAATACCGTCGGACACTATATTATTATACGAACACGGGGAAATTAATATTACGTGGATATGTCTGTAACCAAATAATAGAAAATTAAGTAAAACATGAAAGAAACCGAGGGCGGTATATGTATATTCGATTGCTGGGAAAGTAATGTCGCGTATCAATAGTGTGGTACTCGTACATGCATTTTAAGTTTGTGTAAATAACTCAATACTGCGATATTGTCTATAGATTCTTGGAAATAATTTTCATTGCGTATACATTTTGTTCAAATTAGACCACATAACAGCTCGAAAACATACTTTATCGTACTATCCATCTAATATAAGTGTCTTAAAACAGCACAGCTTCTCAGTAATAAAATTGATATCCACTGAAGAATTGAAATTAGTTAATTAGAATTTTTCTTATTTCTACTATCCAAAAGCGACATTACTTTCTCATCAATCCGATGCATTGCGAATACGATAACGTAACACGATAATAACGCTACAGGATCGACTCATGCTTTATGACGCATATCTCTTTTCACCAATGACCGATCGTGGAAGTCGTGTAAAGTATCATGGGTCGTGTGTTGGTGATCGATGTGTAATAAGACTTGAAGCTCCGCGACTTTTTTCGACGTCCGTGAAACTCTGGCAATCGCCGTCAGAGTTTCTTGAGTAACTGGCGAACGAATCTGAAATCATAATGTAGACAACAGCGCAAGCGACGTGCGCGAACGTAAAATCGCTCGTTCGTTTGTCTCTGCATCGCTTTCTGGAACGGTGTGTGCATCCATGCGTTACGCACTGCGGCATCGATTGCGTAACTATATGTATAGCACTAGAAGCGCTTGTGTGTAAAGAACGCAGTGAGAAAAGAAGCGGCCTTCGTTCGCTGCGGGTTTCAACCATCGGCAGTAGTACTGAGATTCTCCGGTGCCAACGTGGAACAAGAATGTCTCTCACACCAACGACACGATTCACTAACGATTCTTACACGAACTCGCAACCCTGACTCTATTCTTACAACGGCGAAATTGGTGAACCGACGACACCGGAAGACAGACGTCAAATGTTTCCCGGCGAGGGATCTGGGTTAATTTTGGCTTTTGCTACAGGGATTCTTAGAGAATTTTTCTGCTTAAACTCTTGTTAATTTATAACATCTGAGCAAAATATTTCTAATGATTGGACTGTGGATGTTAATGCAGATTTATGCAGTTGTTGATCAATTTATGAAAATAGGAATCGAATAGAAAATTGTTTCTTTGATCAGGAGTTCCACTAAGATGACAACAAGATAGAAATTTAAATGATTAAACGTGAATTTCATTTGTCGATAGTTAATTATAAATAGTATCCTATCCTTTTCACAAAAATTTTATATTCTTTAGATATCAATGGTTGTAGTAGTAATTGTGTTCAATGAAACTATAACTGAAGAAACATTATCTGGTCGCTCAAGACCACTGAAACTCTGATTTCCTTTAAACTATTTGCTTCTATAAAAGTAAAATGATCCTGGTTATCCATATTATAATAACAGAAACGATAAGAATCCCAGCAGTAACGACTAACGAACAGGTATTGAAGAGCCCTGCATAAATTGGAACACGATACTAACGTTCCGTAATTGTACATCGTAAATATGTATAACATAAATTTGTTCAGGAAGTACCGTGAAATTTTGTCAAAAGCCGGCCACGGTTGGCAGCGAATCCTTTGTCTCGTTAATTCCGGCCGGGGAAACACGTTACACCGCGGCGAATCGTATTTCTGCCAACATCGGGACCCATTCAACGGGTTGGAAGCCATTAACGTACGCGCGGTGTCAACGATCCCCGTTTATTTGACGTCTGTCGTAGTTTTCCGTGACGCGAATTAATACTGATCCACTACTCGACTTTTTTTTTATCGTTCTATCATTTTCTCATTCTATACGCAAGACATCGAGGATTTTCTTGAATCTCTTCGTCGTAGACGGTTGTTCCGCGTGTAATACCAACTAACCTTCGCCAGGTTTCCGGTCAAGCCCACCGGCGGAAGTGGCCCGTTTCTTGCTGCCATCGAGCTCCCTTTCGGAGGATCTCCTCGTCAATGGCTGAGCGGCCGAGAACATCATCACGTTGGTGGTAGATGTTGCTCTACGGGTTCCCCAGAAAGTAGAGCCACCGGTGTCGGCAGGCTCCAGCATCCTTGGCGTAGAACTTCCGAACGCGAATACAATGTGCGACCTCTCGTTCTTCTTCTTCGCCTCTATGCGCGCCTCTCTCTCCTGGTTCTTCCGAAGGATGGCCTCCCGTCTTTCCCTCTCCGCCTCGCATATCAACCGTTTTCGCTCTTCGACTTGGTTTCTTCTGAAATGATAAAGGACACTGTTAACGCATTATTTACAGGCTGCTATAGGTTTAGTAGATCTAAACAATCACAGTAACAAGAATTCTAATAAAACAACGTAATCATTTCTTCTGTAACCCTGATCGAGGTAAATTAATAGGCTTCTACTGAATTTTAATAGAACAAATATATTTCTGAGAGCTAATATTGATCGCCGAATGTACCTATTAAAAATTCTTCATATCCAGAATGAAGATATGTCAATATGATACCTGTTTTCAAGATGATTGTGCGTTAAAGTCTACAACTAAATGTAACCGAGTGCAATACTGCCCAGCAACAACCTGACTTCAATAAGGAGAACATTAATAAGTGACACCTACCAGCATGGAATCTCTAGTTTATCTCATTTACCACTGATTTAATTCTGCATAAATCTTCCAGATATTAGTAAAAATTCACAGGCTAAAATATGAGTATACATATGCTATTTTCGTATTCTCGTCTAGTACGCCCTTCGCCTTTTTTAGAACACAGCAAAACGATTTCGCCGCGGTTGAACTTTATGCAGGTGTCGCGGTAATTTCCCGGGCTTCTCTGCGGCGGCGGAACAGTTTAGCATCATATTAACCAGGTCAACTTATAACCTCGTAGAGCACGTAATCTCGTAAAGAACGTTTAAAACACATCAATGTTGTTCCGTGTCGCGTTAAACTCGCGTGTCATAGGTCGAAGAGAGAGTTTGCCGTCGAGACACATAATCGTTCACCCGCTCTCGTTTTCGACGTATTCCATCTGTTCCTATCCTCGTTACCGCAATACCTTCATAAAATATCTCTGCTTCGTTACCGAGCCACGAAAGGCCTAAAAATTCTAGTCCCCGCGGTCTCGTTCGAAACGCTGTAATTCTGTTTACCCTGGTAATCTAGCGATGGGACTGATTCCATACATGTTGCTGATACTCAAACAATTCGATACCTAAGTACTCAAGCAGGCTGTATCGAAAGGCATCGAAATTTTCGTTACTCAATATCAATTTTCAATACCGATGCCTCTTGAAGCGAAACCAATGAATACTAATTCTAAAACAATCAAGGTACTGTCAATACTATGAACGATAGCTATAACACTACTATAGTGTTGGTATCAATATTTTCGTAAAGTATCAAATATACGTTAACACTGTAGTAGAAGTATCAATTCAGTACCGATAGTTTTGTAGAAGCATCAGACAGGTATTGGTACTTTCGTACAACAATCGAAGGGGTATTGATTCTTTTTAATACCTAGGTTTTTGAAATTACTCAATATCAGATCAAAATTTACGATCAGGTATCGATACCATTGATGTGGTATCAGTCCAATACGAACCGACTTCAGAGCCCCATCGAAAGACCTACTAATCTTTTCCCGGTTCATCTCGGTTCGCCCTAACACGCGAGTAAGAAAACACCGTAATTCGCAAATTGCGAGTTCCCACGTGTCAAGGGATCCCGGAGTAAGGTCGCCTCGTAATTTCCATTCGTGGGCCTGGAGTTAGGGGGGAAAAAGAGGAAAGGAACAAACCTGTCGTTGTCACGCGATCTGAGCTCGTCGATGCGCCTTCGGCGTTCCTCCTCCCGCTGCTCCCGGAAGCGTTGCGCGGCTAGGGCCTGCTGTCTCAGCTCTTCCAACTTCCGTTGCCGTTCCTCGTTCTGTCTCTCGCGGACAAGCTTCGCCCTGTCCACGTCTTTCGTGTTTCCCGTCGACTCCCGTCCTGAGAACAACCATGGAAATCGATTAATCCGCCTTGTCGCCCCGTGCCTATCATTCTTTTTTTATTTTTTTTTCTTAGAAACACTGCAAACCGTTAATTGTTCCCTTGGATGGTTCACTTGGTACGCACGTCCACGTTTGTCAATTTACAAGCGTTTCGAAATGTTAAAAATTGATCTGTAGCTATGTTACTTTCAGGTCGATTACGGACTGGATGTTAATTGACACTCTGTATTAATCACTGCGCGTGAATTGTTAGCTCCAAGCGGATTCAAAGCGTTGATCCGTTAACGGTACATAAAGTAGTACAGTAGAACCTCCCGTATCCGATCTAATAGAGAAACATAAGTGTTCAGATAAGGAAATTTCAAATTATAGAACTACCACTTTTCTGATATTAAACCTCATATATTTAAATAGAGATAAAGAAAATCGACTATTTGTTTAAATATGTACTTAGAGATCCCATATCTTTCTTGTTGCTATATTACAGAAACTTTCCAGCATAAGTAACTGTGTAAAATTCAATCGAATAGAAGAAAGTATACATATTTACAACAGGAGAGGTCATTTATTGCTGAGAGGCACTCTGTTCGGATAAGAGAACGTTCGAATTTTAGGATATTTGAGAAATGGGCGTTCCAATCCTGGAAGTTCTACTGTAATTCATAGGTAATCTGTCATTTTACCAATTCAAGTTGAAAAATCAATTGAAAATTCTCCGATAAACTAATGAATGTTACTTGATTCAATACAGTGTAAGAGGATCACAGTTTCAATACTTATCAAACTTTGACTTAACAAGTTTTCATTCTCGTTACGTTTATTAGAAACAAAGTTAAGAAAGAAATATAGTAATTGCGCTACACTGCAAAGTGAACCATCGCAGGGACCGTCTACGCGGTACAGCGATAAACGAACTCATCGGACCAATACAGCCTTCTTTAGTATTTATCGTGCACGCTCTTGAACCCTGTATTCTCGAGGGGTAAACGAGAGGAAAGTTAGTCTCAGCATTGCCCTTGAAAAGGTGATACCTTCGCTCTCGCTAGGCGGATCGCCGTTGAGGGAGTCCTCGTCGTAGAGACTTCGGCGTCGCTTCACATCTGTCGAGAAGAAAGCGAGAATATGTGCGTACGCACGTGAGATTCGGGTATTACGGGCGCGAGGTCGCGTATTCGGCACACTGCAAGCATGCGGCTGCGGGCACAACGGGTTAACGCGGTGTCTTTCAAGCGGGGATGCGGTCGTCGATTAAACATGCGCCATGCAAATCGTCGCCAGGCAAACGGGGACGATCGTGGAAACACCGTATAGCAGGATTGCGTTCGAATTTACACTTGTTGGACAGTAAACTCGTGAAATTAACCCTTTAGCTACGGTAGAACTGGCCGTGGAGTGCAAAAAAAAAAAATGAAAATAAATGTGGACATTTCCACATCACCCACGCAACGTACACGGCTTTAAAAGCAAGAAAATAAGTGACTCGCTACAGTGGCTATTCGTTAAAAAACGTCATCGAGACGGTAGCTAAAGGGTTAACTCTATGAGAAATTAAATCTAAGAAGTCCTCAGCTTGATTTGGACAAAGTTCGATGGAAATAATACGGTCTCGGACCCTTTGCATAATAATTTGCCAACTAATAATATTAGTGAATTTACAGGATATAGGCAACACATAAAATAGGACATTCATTAAACCTGTAATTTACAAATATTACTTGTAGAACTCTACTTGTTTTTATTAAAAATCTTGTTACTACTGTGCAAGAGAATTTAGGAGTACTGGTAATTTACCAAATTTCACTAATAATATTAATTCGATTCTGTAAGAGAGCCTATATGTACACTTAAACTGAACGTAAGACAATAAATATCCAATGTGAATTAACTCGCTTCTTAAGGCCCAGAGTAAGCTGTAGGAGTCTCTTATCTAAAATTTCTGTGAACAGGAAAGGTATGAAATATCTTTATCCAAGATAAGGTCATCCAACAAAATTTTCCGACTATCGTTCTATTTTATCCAAGTATAAAATGCCCAGGATCAACCGGAACGGCCCTGGTCCAACGTGAAATTGAATTAACGACACACTATTACGTTGCTGGAGGAAAGAAAGTTAAAAATCAGAGCTTCCGAGAAAGGCCGTTTCTGTCGCATCGATTCAATTAGTCGACGAATATGATCAATTTTTCACCGTCAACGCTGACAATTTTTGAAAAGGAGGCCGACGTATTTCGCGGTATCTCCGAGTTTCTTTCCCGGATGCGCTAATGCGATTATGAAAAATAGACGAACCGGAGTGGCCCTTGCATGTTGATAGAAAAAGGAAGAAATACGTGATTTAGAGCCTCGAGTCTGCTGTTCAAACGCGTGATCGTGAATGTTTTGCTTTCCACAAACTTTCCATCAATTTTAAAAAATACAGTGGACAACAAAAGTAATAACAGCTGTTTATATCCACTCATACGCAGATACTGGTAAACTATTTATAAACCTACATCTATTCTGAATTTACACCCGGTAATAGGGTATGTAGGCATTCCCCTGAAAACGTACATTTTATGAATATTTCTGTGTTGCGTTCTTGTCATGTTTCATGCGAATAAATTAGTAAATTATATCACTGTAGGTCTTACATTTGCATATGTGTAACAGATAAATTCAGAATAGATGTAGTTTATCAAATCAGCGTGTGAATGAATATAAACAGCTCTTATCAACACTTATTTATGATTTATATGGCTGTATAAATACTTTTACTGCCTACTGTACGTATCCTCCAGATTTCGTGTATGTATCATTTAATTCAATCGTTTACGTTTCATTAGTTCGGAACAAAAATGTTCAGTTCGGTCCACGAAAGCGCTGTTTAATCGACAAAGCATTAAAGGAACCCGCCAAACAGGCTCGTATACCAGCTGCGTGCAAACATTAGAGTACATACGGACCGAGAGACACGAAGCACACACAACACGCGCACAAACACGAAGCACACACGAAAAAACACATACACAGGCGTTAGGGTGAACGTCGGGCAATCGGATGCGGTCATATTCAATTTCGACAGGGGATTACTATTAATACGGACTCGTTACGCGAGGCATTAAATTCCGTGCAAATATCGCGACGAGCACGGCGGCGAAACACACTGCCTGTTGTTTGCCAGGCTGATTATTACCTGACGGGTCGGGGGCGGCCTCGTCACCTCCGATTTGGGCGAACCAGTGCATCGTTTGTTCTGCGGAAGATAAATTTGAAGTTCGTTTCTACAGGGCTGTTTTGTTTGAACAACGGCACCACCCGATACGCGTCCGGCGTTTTATTAAGTTTCCGAGAGCGAGTTCTGGCAGCGTTTCGGGAGATCGATTATGCAAAAGCGAGGTCGTTAACGCCGCGATAAAAAAAAAACGTTTCGATGTACGCGGGTTTTATCGATTCAGGACCCAGGGGCCTGTGTATTACTTTATCGCGGGAAACTTTTACGTTTCGAGGCGGGAAAAGTTGGATAAACTTCTTGAAATGGATAAGGTATGTAGGATCGAAGATTTGTAGATCGAACAATTTTCGTGAGTTCTCAGAATTTGCACGCGAAAAAGGTTAGTTTTGTTTATTTCGTGGCTGATGCTTAATGTCAATCTGTTGTCACTGAACAATTTTATTCTATTTTACGTTTTACAGTGAGATGATTAATCTTTATATTCTACTGTGGATATTTTTCACACATAAATAATCTATTGAGCAGACTTAAACTTCTCATAATTTATGTCTGGACGATGAAATAGAAAAGAGTGCAATTTGCAGGATTTGTAGAAGTTCAAAATAAAATACAGAATTTAAAAGGAGGAGATTCCATAGGCATAACCACAGAAGCTTCTACTTGGTACATCATTACGTGATTCACTATTTTTTTCAATTAAGATGTAGTACAGATTTAATTAAAAAATATCCTTCCGTCCTTTCGTTTGATGGAAACGGTGCAGCACGTGAAAAAACATATAAAATTCTCGAAGCAGTGAACAATCTTTATATCCTCAGAAATAAAAGCTGCTTCATATAAGAAAAATTAATGAAACATTTATTCGTGAACCTGCTAAAATACTAAAAAATATTCCAACTACGAATACCAATTCCCCAGTAACATTTCAAGCGCGCAATCTCCACTAGCTTGAATTACACACGCATCCTTCACGAGGGGTCCTAATCTCCTCTTTCAAAGCGGTGGCTTTAGGATCGGAAAGAATAGTCGCGCGGAAAACGGCCCGGAAAAATAGAACGGAATTTAAAGCATCTACCGTGCATTTTTCCAGGCAGCCGGTGTGCGAAGAATAATGATGGGTAACGGTGATAAGCGGGGGAAGGATTTTCATCGTGAAAACCAACGGAAACGTGGGGCACGTGTTCCAGCACAAAAAAGAAAAAAAAACACGAACTGCAAATGGCGTAGGGTCGCGGTTTGCGTTAACGATATAGTCGCACGATTCGCAAACGACCTGCATTAATTGCGAGCAGTCTCGCTTATTTTCGACATCTGCCGGATAACGGAGAGGTTGCCCCATCGTTCGTTTCCATCAGGATGGGAAGCATGTTTTTATCGGTCGACGTCGCTTCCGGTAGCTGAATGCGAATGTCGACGCGGCGGGAAAATCAGCGACACGGCGTGTCGTCGCGGATAATTGATAACCGAAGAAGAACCGAATAGGCGTCGAACGCAACGCCTGTGTGTGTAATTACGGGATCGGAGGAGGACACTAAGAGGATACGACTTTGGTAAAAACGCGATCGCGTGCCGACAACAATCCGCCCGGAGGGAAACGTGAATAGAAACTGAAGTGAATACGTTACGGTGATGGTCGATTATTCCATCGGATGCTGCTTGAATCTCGTGCCTCTTCCATTTTGGTTAAGGACGATCATACTGCTGTACTTTCTACTTATTTCTGGTAACAGTTTCGATGTTTCATCCGATATATATATTAAAAAACAGTTTGAGACTTTGGGGGTTTATAGTATTCACCGAGGGGGGTAAAAAACTGCGGAACTTTATGCAAAATAACATTTTTCGAAGTGATTTGTAAAGACAGATGTGAAGATTGAATTTTCTTTTATTTCTTAAGGATTTTATTATGACAAGAATAGGACAGGAAATGTATTAGGTCTAATGTTAACTTTAGTATTTACCATAGTTGACATAGTCGTATATTAATCAGCAGTTTAATAATCAATATTGAAGACCTAGAATCAATCCTTTAAAGGAAAAGTACAAAAATTTGCTTTCACATTTATTATAGATGTTTCATAATTCCTTCCTTCCATTTCAATACAAAGTTTTCATCTGCGAATCGTCGATCGACATTTTTAAATATTGCTCCCGTATCTCATATTGCCTGTCCTCGTACAACCTTGAATTTAAGATACTTCTAAATCAATTTTTCTGTTTACATTCAATACTTGGAAAAATTGATTTTACGATTTTTTTACTCCCCTCGGTGAGTACTATAAGCCTCTAAAGTATTGGATCCTTCGTTTAAGTCGCCCTGTATATTGATTCACATCGCCGATGCGTTTAATAATCCCTGAAATTCAATATCTGACCGTGATGACATTAAACACAATCCACTCGACGGCGACACAAATATTAATCTCGTTCGAGCGAGTCCCCGTGAAATTGGAATTTTCATCCGTCTGTTAATTGCGTTCCCGTATTATATTCCCGTTAATGGGAGATTCGTGTGGCTTACTTTCGCGATCTAGACGCTTTTCAGATATAGAAAAAACAAACAGCGCGCAAAACAAGGCGGAGTGTCTGCGAGTCAGCCAGTCCGGTCATTTTCAGAGAACGACAAGAAAGGAAGAGCTGCCCTGGTGCTACCTGCCGATGTTGTTTCCGGCCGCTGATTGCAAATGTCAGAAGAGAGGGGAAAAAGTGTGAGAGCGAAAGGGGAGAGACCCACCCGTTTGGACCGCCTCGTGGCAACCGTTGATGGTAATTGGACGTTTCATTAGCAATGCGGATGTGGAATCGAACGGGAGAGGGAGTAGACGCTAGGCAAGAAGAGACAGAGGGGACCAGGTTTGAACGAACGAACAAGAGAAAGAGAGACCAGA